AATCATGATGGATGTCTGACTTTGTCTACAATGTATAGATTTTGACATTTGTCAAGCCTTTAAAAATATATATACATAGACTATGTAAACGTGATGTATATGTATATGTGACTATGTAACATAGTGAATCATTTTTTGATAAACTCCTTCTAATACTGGAACTGTTGATACATTTAATAGAATGCGAGCTTTATCTTCAATTTTCAAAATATTTAATTCCAGAGAGCAGAGAACTTGTAATTTTGTGTAATTTTACAGGTGTGTGTTACAAAGTTATATATTATCAACCAAATCTTCTTATTCAAATTGTTGTCTGTTAGTTTTTGAGCGATTCCAAATTAAGTAGGTTCTTAATTTAAATGACAAATAATAAAGTAATATAATCTAGAAAATGTTTTATAAATACCAATTAGTATAAAATTATACAAATGAGTTCTTTCAGAGCACCAAGTTTGAGAAAAATATGATTTGCAACTGTTGCAACAAAAGAGTGCTAAAACGCTAAAAAGTGCGTTTTCATATTAGGTTGTCAAATATCTCCCTTCCGCCGTTTTGTATTAAACCAAGAGCAAAAAAGCGGAAGGGAGATATTTGACAACCTAATATTAACATTTCAATAAACTTGATATTATGAGTTTCTAATATTACTTGCGGTCTGTTTCATAACTTGTGTATAAATAAAACTACAAACAAAACTACTTACTACAATTAAATAATATTCATCTAAAACATCCTATTAAATGTAATTGAACATCTGCCAAAATCATTTGACATTTGAAGCCATCGTCCTTTAAATTACGCTACGACAAAAAATTTCATATTAAAAAATGTAAAGATTCTACGCGGTTTTGAAATAATATCTCACCTTTTGCAAAACCTATGGATTAGCACGAGTTTTTCAAACTAAGACTGGCCAAATCCGTACAGCCACTTTAACGTTTTACCATACATTTGGTCGAGCTCCATTTTATATATATATATATATATATATATATATATATATATATATATATAGCATCGTTATCTTGATTTGAAAATAGATTTGAGGGTCCGCTAATGTGCGAAAACGTCAGTTGCACAAAATCGGCGAGGCAAGCGGTCACATGACTGATCATTATTTAGAACTTTGCACGTTATTTGGATATTTTATATAATATAAATTATAATTGGGTCGTAACGTAAATTACATAAAACAACAACCAAAATATAAATATAAAACAAATGTTTTAATTGTTGTAAAAATGCAACAACTATAGTTACGGTTCCAAATAAAATATTCAGTTTCATAATTCCATATGTAAGAAAAATCGATATATTCTTTCTTTATGTGATATATGTAAATGTTTTCCACTTTTACTAAATGAGATGTCAATACACATGCAATTAAAAAGTTATAAGAAAAGATTATTTTTGTCTACCACTTTAGAATAGATAAGCTGACTAAAACAACATTGTTATTAATCATATCTAAAAAAAGTTGGTTATATAAATTATTATTTACGTTCTTTGACGTACTTCGTCATATAAAAACAATTTCCAAATATTGTATAGCAAATTAAATAAACTTGGAAACCGATAATAATAGAAAATGGTAAATCAGTGTTATGGGCCCAAATGTTTCCATTGTGATAAATACATATTTACAATCAACACTTGCATAGGTACGTTGTGTTATATGAAAATACTGACTACATTGATGATACTATTTCAATAACTAGTGGGGTGCATGGCATCGTGCCTTAAGGTAAATTGCTGGAACTTCCCGTACCGTAATTAAAAAAATTGGTACGGAACCCAAAAAAATTACGCAATATGTGTATACATTTTAAAAATCTCTATAAATATTTGATAATTTGATGTGCATAAGTCCAATAAACATTTTTGTCCGGCAATTTTTTCTAACTTATTTTTATTGAGAGTTCATAACCGCTGGACCTGCCTTCCCAAAAATTAGTTGTTCATCTTGTCAATAGAAATAAAATGTTTTTTGAATTATTAAAATCGGACGCTCCGTTCTCTTAAAATCTGAGTTACCGTTTTTGGCAATTTAGGCCCCGTATCTTCGGAACGGCTAGACCTGTCTTCGCCAAAGTCGACGAAAATTTGTATCCGCACACATATACATGCCAAAATGTTCAGAAACCTTTATATAAAAATTTTCATTTTCGATTTTTTTTTGCCATTACTATAACTTGCCCTACGGGAAGACAATGACTGCCCATTTTTGTATATTGCTGAAACTTTTACTGCTCCCGAACGTCTTCTATCACTCCACTCATTCTACACTTTCTTCTATGATTCTTTTGAATATAAATGAAACATAAGGAAGACCAAGTCATTGGCGTTGTTTTTTGAATGCACAAGACAATAACGTTTAAAGAGACCTCTCAGAAAGCATCACACCATGACCATAATTCACGAGGGATTTCGGCGAACGGTCATCGATGATGATCAAACTCCAAATGAAGTTCGATCACCTTTCTCACGCTCAGGGTGCGATGCTATGACTCATCGTCGAGGTCGCATCAACTCCACTTTTGAGTGAAGAGATTGTGAAGACATACTACAGAAATGATCCTGTGAAGTATGATCTTGACGAAACGACGTTTCGACCGAAGCAAGCCAATTCCTTTCAGGTTTGTGCGGCGATTGCAGGTTAACGTGACCCAGGTACACGAGGCGGAGACATCTAGCGTTTCATTTTCAACACTTATTGTTTATAGAAGGAGTGTTGGGCGCATAGATAAACAAGTATAAGGTTGGGCGTACAAGCGCGTTTATGCTATAGTTTGAACGTTTCTTTGTAAATCAAAGAAAAGTGAAATTTTTTTCGTCCACGTTTTAGCCCGCTATTTTGCATCGATTTTAAAAATTCAAAAACTTCGAAAGATATTGGTTGGGAATCGACCTGATTAGTTTTTGTTAAAGATTCGCTGGCACAATTTCTTGTAATTAACTTGGACAAATAAAACACTGGATAGATTATTAACCCTCCGTCGGTCGGAGTGGTCTGGCCAGACTTTTTTCGACTTCAATTTAAAAAAAAAACTTCTAGTAATCCTATCGACTTGAAATTTCTTGACTTTTCCTAAAATGTCATTAGCTGTCGATCAATGAAAAAATCAGGACAAAAAATGTACAGAAGGATAATTATAAGAATATTAACTTTTTAATGCTTCAAACGGTCCGAGTGGTCTGTCGCATTTTCATCAGTCTTTTGTCATTTTCTCTGGTATTTTTCAACCTATCAAACTTATTGGTTATCGCAAAGATTGAAAATCGGATAAATAATGCGCACACAAATTTTCCACCCGTACTGCGTTCGAAACTAGTTTTTGGATAAGCTTTAGCCATAAGTATGCAGTTCAATTGAAATTATATTTTCACATTGAGTTTTACAGCTCATTCCAAAGGCGACGCACCTCATTTCGTTTTCATTTGAATTTCACATTCATTTCGAAGGCGCCAAAGAAGAATAAATATTGTTTTTATTGATATAAAATAGAAAAATTAACAAAAAAGCAAGGCTTTTTTTATATTCCATGATTTTTATTTTGAAATATTTTTTTTAGAAGCAAGCTCAACACATGCAAAATACGGTAAAAAAAGAAAAAATCAAAACTATAAATATTTATTACCAATAATCGTTAATATATAACCAAAAACTCATTTATCCCGTTTAAATGCATATAAAATGAATGGTGGTCCAGCCAGACCACTCCGATCGTTCGAAGGTAAATAAATATTCGACCGACGGAGGGTTAATATATATACACATATACACACACAGATACATCCATTTTTTCTAAGGTATGCCAAAATGTTCAGAAACCTTTGAAACGTCAAGATATTTTTTTCAGCAACTAGTCCCCGGTTTGCTGGTTCGATTCCCGCTATAATCGCCGTAGCCCGATATCAGGTAGCTTGGATGTCAAATTTCCACTTGGCGTTATAGATCACAATATAATTCCAAGTGGAAATCGTCCATCGTGCACATAGCTGCAACATCCAATCATATGTTAACTACTAGACGTAAGAGCTAATATCAAAAATATCCCACACATAAGAGAATGGTTAATCGATGGATTGCCTCTCATGAAATACATAAAAAAAGAAATACAAAAATAATTTCTATGAGCTAAACCGTACATTTATATAAGTATGATATTATATAATATAATCCAGTGATATATCTTACTTAGTTTATATAAAATCGAATGGCCATATCATTTTCAGTCTTTTATTGTCATGCGGTAGTAAAATGTCTGCAACTATTGGGTTTGGGTGGGTTTATAATTTATTTCTGTGGATTAAGGCCCGCTCTTGTATTGTTGGCCGGACTGTTAACATTTTCAGGTTATTGTGTATTGTAAAGTTTGTCACGTACCACGGCGCGTTTAGAATTAATCTTAGATTTTTATTTTGCATTTTTTCTATTATTGCAATATTTAATTTTGAAGCAGTGCCCCATAACTCTACGCCATATATCCAAATTGGTTTCATTACACATTTATACAATAGTAATTTGTTCTCTGCAGACAATTTAGTGTTTCGGTTTGTTAGCCAATATAATTCTTTGACCTTTTGTGAAATTTGATTCTTTTTTTATTAATATGATGTCCATGTTAATTTCGTATCTAGATGCATACCCATAGTACTTTACCACATCTGATTTTGGAACTGGTTTGTTGTTTAGGTAGACTGTGGGGAATGCATTTATGACGTCAAGATATATAAAAGTTTTCATTTTCGATTTTTTGCGATTACTATAACTTGCCCTACGGGAAGTTAGAAATTTTCCTAATTGACAAGGGTGTATGCTTATCTTTTTTAGAAACAAATTTTTAAACTATGTAAATGACTATATTATATAGTTTCGCAGGATATAGTCTAAATCCTTCGCATGAATTTATGCTATTTATCTATTTTGTATAATTTTGAATGTATATGTAAAAATATTGGGAAAATAACATATTATCAAATATTTCTCTTTGTTTCAGAAATGCCGCCTACCTGCCCTTGTATTCTTATGCTGTTTATGTACTCCCTCTGTACTATGGCGCAACCTCTGACAGTCGAGCAAGTTGCCATTCTCTCCAAGGCGCTTGATTCTGAATTGCCGATTTCTAATGAAATTCATTCAATTTATGATGATATAACTGAGGTCAGTGAAAAATTGACTTTTATTGTTATTACTTACCTTCATCTCTTTTGTCGGTTCGTGGTTAGAGCTTTGGAATTTTAATTAGAGGTTCGACACTCAGTTAGGACCGATTGACGTTAGGCAGCAGTGACATCGGTTTTCACATGAAAATATAGATTTCAATACATTTATTATTAAAATTCTCGTATTACAGATGTTTTTCATTGATGACAATGAGCCATGTCACCTGTAAAACCGTCGTAATTTATTAAATCAAAAACATCATAGCAGACTACAGGACTTTTAAGTTCTGATGGCTGTTCAAATAATAATAAAGAAAGAAATATTTACCATCAAATATTGCATACTTCATTATGCAATCATGTGATTCACTCATTTCAATATACTATAATAGAACATAGAAAAAACCAACACATCGCCCATAGTCTAATAATGACACCCCTGATCACATTACTATTTAGTTCAAAACCAAGAATTTTTTGAATGCTAAAACTAATTAAATGTCAATTACTTTTACTCTCCTTTTTCAAACATTTAATTATGCCGTGCCATATATATATTTAAACAATATTGTTGATAATTTAATAAAAATCAATGGGCATCCAGTGCTTATTAAAAATTAGTACAAACAACCGCTCTGTGCGACAATAAAAAAAATAACTTTATATGCAGCATCGTATAATTGTTTAACATTAATTTAAACTAATTGTATCAATCACTCCAGAACGACAAAGAGGACTTGTTCATCAACAAGCACCGTTTACTAGAGCGCTTAAAAGAGCTATCTCGCGAACCTGCATATGAAGCTGAGCAACCTGCTGCAGTAGTGCCCGTTAGAGACAACACGCTGCATCGTGAAAGCCGGAGACAACAAGGGCCTTGTAAGATTTCTTTTATTGTTTTGTTTGTATGCTCACTAGAGTTACTATATCCGAAGTTGAATCGGCTAAAATATGATTCTGTTCGAGGGAGAACGCCCCGTTCTCTTAAAAACCGAATTGCAAGTTTTTGCCCTTTTTTCTCCGAATCTTTAACTTTTAAAAATTAACCAGTACGTCTCCCGACCAATAAAGTATTGGCAATTGGAACCGAATATTTCTCCAATCATTCAAAACGTTTGATCCGTGCTACTGAAAACAAGTTGTATGCCCAAATATATGCACACTGCCATGTATGCCAAAATTTTTAGAAACCTTTGAAGCGTTTAAATATGAACATATTTTTAAATTGAATGAAATTATCTTTGTTTTATGTAAAATTGAGCTTTTTCAAAAGCTTTGAATTGATTGAGCTTTTTTTTTATTATATAATAATTCGTACAACATAGGGGCTTGTGGTGAGAGGGTAAAATTTTATATTTATGAGTTATGAGTTATGTGTTTTTATACGCATGTTAAAAAAATACCTAACAGAGGAAACACCTGAATAGAAGATACACCAAATACCTAATAGGAGATATACCTAACTGTTTTCTATTTTGACGGAGATAGGATGATTGTAATGGTATATGAATGCATCTATTCCCAGTAAACACCGTGTGATATGAAGGGCGGTAGCAATCTGAAATTCACAAAAGTGCCTTCAGCGCTGTGACATCTATGTGGAATCCATGTGGATTCCAGATTGCTACCGCCGCTCGGTGTTTACTGGGTTTTCATACGTGGAAGATTGTATTCAATTCAATTAATTGTTAGATTAAATTAATTTAAAACTGCCTCGGGCGAATATTACAAATAGCAATCGATTCTTGCTTCAATCTTCAAAATATTGATAGTACGTCAGCATGACCTTTTCTTGAACAGTAATCAAAACTACAATCTTCAAAATATTGATAGTACTTCAGCATGACCTTTTCTTGAACAGTAATCAAAACTACAATTAAGGCCTGTTCATACGACACTTGTTTTCTGGACTGGACAGCATGCTTGATTTTGTCGCGTTAGATTTTATGATATTGTTTCAAGCCATTCAAATCACACGATGCGAGAAAGCTTGTTTGCTTTGATAAACCACATGTCAAAATACTGCTTCTCTCTTGGTTCGAACGAACGAATCCATGACGGCGGGGAGTGTGGCAGAGATCGATCCTGAGACCGTCACTGTTTAACGTCTACATCCACGACATCCCCACTGACGCCGACACAACGTTACTGACATTTGCTGACTACACTGCCATATACAGATCATCACGATCATCTACGCTGCTGACTACAAATATCTTAAGACACACATAGACAAGCTAACCGAATATACTGATGAATGGCAGATCAGAGTCAATCCGCAAAAGGAAGCAATTTATTCACAAAGAGCCTTAGGTCCATTACACTGACTGACTTGAACAAACTAAAAGTAATGACCACAAAGTTGAGTGGTCCAAGGATGTCAAATACCTTGGTGTGACCTTGGACCATAGACTCAGCTTCACAATACATATTAACACAGCAGTTTCCAACCTTTTCTTCCTTGCGCCCCTCTTTCGAATGATAAATTTATTGCGCCCCCCTCCCATTCTTATTTTTCTAACAATTTAATTTAAATATACTTAATATAACTGAAATTATGCCAAATAATACACAGTATTATAAAAAATATACATACAAACATAACTATTTATTATAAAAATTTTCTGTTTCACATAAGTAAGATCTCACAAATGGTAATAAAATTTCTAAAGCATTATTTGCTAAAGTAGGAAAATCGTCCTTTACTGGTAACCAAAACTTAAGAATATATTTTCGTCCTGAAATATCTGCGTCAATGTGCTATCACTATCTACTTAGATAAATCAATTATCATTTTCTGCTCTGCTGTTGAATGACTAAAATTATCATGTTTCTCAATGACAAATGGATTTCTAATCCATTCGTATTTGGACGTAATTAGATAAAGTAATGCGAAAATTAGTTTCGTAGACTAGTCATATGACTGATATAATAATAAGATCTTTACTTACTTCTTTCATCAGTTAAAGTTATAAAGTTATTTGATACTAGCTATACACAGTTCTAATTTTTTCATTAAAGCCGTAATTTTGTCTTTCTTAACAAAAGTACGAATTTGAGATCCTTGCATTGATTTAATTAAATCGCTAAGTCTTCAAAAAATATCAACTAAATACGCAAATTTTGCGAGAAACTTTGTGTCCTAAAACAAGATTGCTCCGTCTCTTTTGTTATCAGCAAGAAATATAGCAATTTCTTTTTTGAGTTCAAACACTCTTAGAAGTACTTTAAGTATTTTGATGATTTGTTTTTGGCACTTACTCAGCATTTAAAAATAATATTTTTGAAACAGCTTCGCACCCCCCCTGAAACGGTATGGCGCCCCCCCAGGGGGGCGCGCCCCACAGGTTGGAAATCACTGTAATTAACATGAAAATTGGACAGGCTTACGGGATGATAAATCTACTGAGACCTCTCTTGAACCATAACAGCCGTCTAAGCGTGAAGAACAAGCGGACACTCCAATAATTTAGCTCAGTCATAACGATGGTTCTTTTTAAAAGTGTGCATTGAGTACGGTTGTGGCATGTATTTTTTGTACTTTTCTGGTGAAGTTAGAAAGGGGAAAAATTTTCTTAACTAAGACAAAATACGAAAGAGAAAGTGAAAGAAAAATTCAATATAAGATAAAAAAAATGTTTAAAAAATTATGTTTTGTTATACAAGTAATTATGTTAATAATATAATAGTAAGGAGATTAAATTAATTTTCCTATAATAATCATTATTGAAAAGATTTTCGCTACAAAATAAAGTCGCTTTTGTCTGTAGAAACTAAAAAAATGATAAAATATTCACTAAACATTAATAATCTTTTTTAATTAATATTGCATACTGCTGCATTAAATTAATACAAAACTAACATTTTATTATTATTTATAGATATGACTCTATGTCACTTCAAAATTTGTAACATGGGAAAGAAACGGTCGCAACACTATCCCCAGTAAGTCCAATAAAATTTACAGTTTATTCAAAAAACTTCTATGTAAAAATTTGAATTTAAATAAATTAATGTTGCAGTCAATACCGTATTTCAGTTGATCATGAAAGTGTTTTCCTTTTCAGTTAAGTCTGGGAATTCAAAACACTCGACTAGGAATTAAGTATCAAAAAAGTGATTTAAAATTAATGTATTAGTATTTTAATGTGATCCTTGTTTATGTTATGAAGTATTTTTTACAAATGATTATGTATAATTTATTTTTAATTTTTACTGTACTGAAATTTTATGCAATAGATTGTTAGATTGAAATATTAATATTGTTTGCTAAAAGTTTCTGTAGATTTCTTAATATAATAGTTTTGTATATACCCTGTACAGAATGTGCATTTGTGGATAAGGCAGATAGGTTTGAAGTCTTTAGACTAATGGAATTACTTGAATAAAGTATACTTGTGTATTACAAAGTTACTTGTGTTAATATACTAATTTTAAAACTTAGTTCATTATTGGATGCAAATTATTTTTATAATACAAGTATATAGTTGTTTTAAAGTATGACTTATTTTTTGTAAAATTAATTTATTGTATTAAATATATGAATCAATAAAATCGTGCATTTTGCAATACAACTACATATTTGAAATCCATGAAAAATTGAATTTGTATTAGAGTTTTTGGATAAGGATTAGACTAATTATCCTATCAATTTTATAAATTATTAGTAAAACTAAAATCTCGATCCATAACTTACTTGAACCAAAAAATATACCAGACAAATTGTCAACTATATTGAAGAATTGGTATAATGATTGAATAAATATTGAAGTACATTACATTTTATATTGGTTTGAAATACAAGAAGCTTGATATATATTCCAGCTGTTGAACTGAAATCAACCAATAAAACATATATTATACTATAGTTCAAAATAAAAATATTTAAAACACTTGAAAATATAAAGTAAATAAATTTCTTTATTAAAATAAATTTATATTAGAACTAATACACAACAATCTATTTATTTTAAACGGCGATTATTTGAAATACATTACTATTTTAGAATCACAGCTATTTAAAAAACTCACGTTTCTTCAGGCCTTATAATTACTGTAATTCTTTGCATAGCTCTCACAACTGTCATTTCTAAAATTTGATGTGCGGCTAAGGCAGAATAAATATCTGATGCAGTTCTTACAGGTGTTTTATTAATGTGAGTTACAATATCCCCTGGATGTAAGCCACCACTATTGAGAAACAATAAAACAAGTAAATATAGAGAAATTATAATATAAAAAATTTAAATATTAATCAATTAATATAAAATGCTGGTAAAATATGATTGAATTATACCAAATAAAAAAGTTGCCAAACTGATAGCAGAAAATTATTAGAAAAAAGTGTTAAAGAATTCAATTTAAAAACATGTGTCCACATGTATTAATAATGTCATCAAAATTTTATATAATGAAAGTATTTAAGAGCATGAATTTTATGTGAGTTTTAAGAATACTGAATAAAGATAAATAAAAATTAAAAACAGATAAATCAAATTATATTAAAAGAACATTGTTCATAGTGACAATAAGCCTATAAAGAAGATTCTGTAAAGATTTCAATTAAATCATCAAAATGGATATCGTATCAAAAAAAAAACAGTATCACATAATAATAATATTTTGATTCAAAAACTTATTATTTTGAGTTTCTGAATCTAAACATTAAGTTTCACAAATTGATTTGACAACTTCCAATCCAAAGAAGTATTATAGCGGTATAATAATACAAATAAATAATAATTAAAATTTTGAAAAATCATCTAACGTATTCTTGAAATTACCTAATCAAATTTTTGATTTCTTAAAACTACTAGACCATAATACCCCCCATAAAGTATACTGAATAATTTTAGTTATCATAGTTTGTGAAGCTTCAATTTATGTATGGCATAGGGTACATAGTCAGTACAGTGTAGAATAAAATCAGCCTCGCCCTAGTATTTAAATGATTTATAAACTGTTTTATAGGTGTTTTGTCTAAAGTATACTATTTAAAAACAACCACACTGGTAAGAAATACAAAACGAATAAATATATTTCCCTTTTGTGCACTAATAAAAAATAATTTAAGATATTTTATTATAAACAATATCGTTGAAACTAATAAAAATAAAACCTCATCATTATTTAGTTTTGAAAAAGTTTACTGTTTTTCCAGAAAGCACGTTTCAAAAGACTTCCACATGTATTCAACGATATTTTGAAGAAATGATGAGATAGAATGTACAAAATTGGTATAATTAAGCACGGCAAAGTGCCCAGCCCTTGTTGAATATAAAAAATTGGATTATATTTACTGATAATAATAATAATAATAATATTTACGAATGTGCTGGTGATCCTATAATAACTTTCCAAACTAGAACACCATGATGTACATCGGTAGGTACAGGATGATTTCTTTGTATCAGTTCTTGTAAAATATCAGGGCTCAAAGTCAGCATTGTGATACCCATGTAACGATTTCTAATTGCCGAACTAACTGTAGGATGTTTACTTCTCTCCTCACCTGCAAAAAATATTCCCCATACATGTGAGATATTCATATTTTAACACATACAAAACATAAAATAAAATATATAAAAGTTGAAACAAAGAGTTATGTAGTCTCACTACAGGATTAGCAACATATGTATCATTAAATATATAAATATAAATAAATAAATATATATATATATATATATATATACATATAATTTATATATAAAATATATATGAAGTAAGTTTTCAACATAACATTTCAAGAACAGGATAATCATTATAATATTACTTTTTTTAAGAAAATCTTTTGCATAATCTATTGGTATTGCAAAACTTATTCCAGCTGTAACTTTCATAGCATTTATGCCAATGGCTTCTCCATCCAAATTCACCAAAGGTCCACCGGAATTCCCAAATGTGATAGCTGCATCAGTCTGTATATATGTCATATCCTTTCCTAAAAAAAGAAATATATATATACTAATACTACAATGGCTTTTATTTATAATTTGTACCTCTTAAGCCAAGTTCCTGAGATGGTCTATGTGTTGTACTGACAACTCCTGAGGTCACAGTGTTACTTAAGGATAATGGACTGCCCATGGCAACCACAAATTCACCTGATCTCAATTCTGAAGAAGAACCTAGTTTCATCACTGGCAAATTTTTGACTGGAATGCGTACAGTTGCTAAATCAGACCTCATATCTACATCTTCAACTGTCCCGGTGTATGTAGTACCATCCTATAAAAAAGTAAAGTACAATGTGTAAAATATTTTTAAACATAATACTTCCCATAATTGTATATCTTGCAATTTTGTTCTTCATTATATTTTTTCATTATTTAGTTTAAATTTGAAACCAAAAAAAATGTTTAGTTAATATTGTTTATTTTCAATATGTAATTAACAAAAACATTTTTTTTATTGTTTTTCCTTGTGTGGTATGTATCAATTTTTTACTTGTCATCTTTTCTTTTAATCTATAATATATTTTAATTATAAAATTTAATTTATTTTTAAAACTTTATAAAAATTCTTTTAGATACTGAATAACAAAAATTGCTGAATGATGACACACAATCCGTGTCAAAACGTATAATATAAATAAATATTTTATTATTATCTTTTTTTTATTTTGACCATTGGCTGAAAACCAATATACAAGATATGTCTCAATATCGCACAAAAAAATCTAAATATTATATGTCATATATATATATATATATATATATATATATATATATATATTGAATGGTAGAGTCTTGGATTTGTGTATATTTTGTAGAGTTTCAAACAAGAATCCAAAAATAATACAAAATAAAAAACAAGAAAAGTTTTTAATAAACAATTTCTTTATTTAATTATTTGTTTACTGTCAACGTTTCGGAACTAGGTACGTTCCATCTCCAGGTCATCTGTCAAGAAACATGATCTTGATGAGATTTAAGCAAACAATATGTTTAGGAATAGAAAATAGATTTTTCTTAAATAATAAATTAATTGTAACAAATAATAATGTACAGAAATATGATAATATGATCAAAATGAAAATGATAAAAATAAATGAGTGGATTATCAGAACAGGATATTAAAAATGATAGAAATTTTTTGAAAGTTATGGAAAAATTTTTTTCATTAATCCTTTCTTTAAAAATTTTTTTCCATAACTTTCAAAAAATTTCTATCATTTTTAATATCCTGTTCTGATAATCCACTCATTTATTTTTATCATTTTCATTTTGATCATATTATCATATTTCTGTACATTATTATTTGTTACAATTAATTTATTATTTAAGAAAAATCTATTTTCTATTCCTAAACATATTGTTTGCTTAAATCTCATCAAGATCATGTTTCTTGACAGATGACCTGGAGATGGAACGTACCTAGTTCCGAAACGTTGACAGTAAACAAATAATTGAATAAAGAAATTGTTTATTAAAAACTTTTCTTGTTTTTTTATTTTGTATTATTTTTGGATTCTTGTTCGAAACTCTACAAAATATATATATATATATATATATATATATATATATATAAATATATGTAAATATATAACGGCACTATGTGTTATCATATTTATCATTTATATAATATAGTTAGTATTTGTGTATTTTCAATAAAAAAGGAAAAGTGTTATGAATTATAATTTTGGCAGTGAGACTGGGGAGAAACAATAGAGAGATCCCAACTGACAATTGCACTATTTTGTTTCCTCCGTGCTGTCACTATGATGAGCATATCTGTCCAGTAGAAATGCGATGCGTGTTGACAGGCCGCTACATATATATATATATATATATATATATATATATATATATATATATATATATAATATCCATATACATACATTCTTGAATGAGAGGCATATGAACATGAAACATATTACAAATTATACGTTTCACATTAGATAAGGTGAAGTTATAAGTTTGATTCTAATTTATGTGTTTTTTTTCTATATGTTATATCATATGGATAAAAATAAAAAAATCAACATGAATGATAACACAGGTCCACAAAATAAAAAAAGTAGTCTGTATTGGGTCTGCAATATATGTTTTCCAATATACTTTTTAATGCTAAACACGAATCTAATGTCCCCAAATTCGGGTTCAAACTGCAAAAAAAAGAAAAATAAAAAATAACAGCAAAATCTAGTAATTCTATTGCACGATGATTAAGATCTTATAATTTCTGTCATTTCCTAAGCCCTTTCACCTTAAATGACCTGTGTAACGCTTTCTCCGATGCTTTTTCAACTTTCGAGTTACTGTTTGTAGAATCCAGCAGCATTTAGATTTGTGTAAAAAAGTACATAGAAAAACATATGTCGCATATCCAATACAGACAACTTTTTTTATTTTTTGGACCTGTGTAATCAAGCAATAATAAGAATATATATCAAATATAAAAATTTGATTAAATGCAAACATGAAATGCAAGTCTTCTTTGGTAAAAAATATAATGTAAATTTGCTAACTTGCATGTGAATTGATAATGATTAATTATTACTAATAAATTTGGAACAGAATCATAATTATTATAGATCACTAATTAAAATAACTAGTTCATTATCTGTCTATTTATGAATGCCATATTGTGACACTTGATTCATAAAACGAGAATAATACCTATCTGGTCATAAGGAATAGAGCTTGGCGGTTGCCCATAATTGTAACACTTTATTTAAGAAACCATAATTCCTAACTGGTCATACAGAATAGATCTTTGGGGATGCTCTAGCAAATCTAATGTGGTATTGGCATGGAGGATCCAGTCAAAATTATTTAGAATGATGACAGATGCACTCTCATGATGATCTGAAGGTGCTGTATATTAAAGGCTTTATGAGAGCAAGATCTACTTATCATCATCACAAATTAGAAAATCACACCAATTCACTCATTGCTCCGCTGCTCCTTAGACAAGAAGTAAGAAGATTTAAAAAAGTATGGCTAATTAACTTGATCCAGTAAAACTGTATCTAATAGTAAATACTCATTAGGTTACTATCTAAAATTATATTCTAGTCAATCAAAATAACTCATAAAAAGTAACTAATGTTCTGAATGTTATTAATAAAAGTGTGGGTGACAAATAATTAGATGGCTAGTCATAAATTATTAATAAGAAGATCACACGGTTTATTGAGAAACAAAATATATTAGGTGCGCAACTCAATTCTCGATGTTTGTCAGTAAGTGGCTCTAGCAGTAAGGGTTGGTCGATTTTGAAAAATCCAAAACGTCTTGAACCAAGCTTAGACATATGGTAAACAAACTGTTGCGACATATAAGTGATTTCGTTTTTGCATTATATACTTCTGGTTAAGTGAATATGTCTAATTTTATGCCAAACAATCGTCATTTGCGTCATTTGCGATTTTCTTCTTCCATTTGAAAAAACCGCAGCTCTGACAATGAGCGAAACAACATGCCGAGAAGAGAAGGAGTTCTCCATCACATCGTGGCAGGTGATAAAAAGTTATCAATTGCAGCAATCCAAAAAGGAAAAAATCTCGGTTTGACCGAATATTCACTGCGAAGGTTATGCTCTGCATATGGTGGAACCAGGTTGGTGTTATTTATTATGAGCTGTTAAAACCAAGCGAAACCATCACTGGAGAACTGTATCGAACTCAATTGATGCAATTTAGCAAAAAGTCACAATACAGGTAGAGTGATTTTACTACATGACAACGCTCGGCCTCACTTTTCTAAGCCTGTTAAAACCTGCTTGGGAACGCTCAAATGAAAAGTCTTACCCCACTTGCTATATTTCCCAGATATTGCACTGTCCAATTTTTACTTGTTCCGTTCGATGGCACATGGCCTGGCTGATCAGCAGTTCAACTCATATGAAGACGTCAGAAAATGACTTGATTTGTGGATAGCGTCAAAAGATGAACACTTCTGGCACCAAGGTATGCAAGCTCTGCCAGAAAGATGGGCAAAAGATGTGTCTAGTCTTGTGCAATACTTTGAATGAATCAGATGTAAAAGTTTTTATACAATAAAGTTACATTTTCATCTAAAAACAATGAGAACTTAGTTGCGCACCTAATATGTTTGATAATCTAAAAGATTATTAATATTCTTATATATAAAAATGGAGCTCTCTTTCAAATGTCTAAGTAAAATTGGAAAACGGCTGAATCGATTTGGCCAGTCTTAGTCTTGAAAAATTCGTGCTAATCAGTAGGTTGTCGGAAAGGTGAGATATTATTTCAAAATCGCGTAGAAACTTTACACTTTTAATTTGAAAATTTTTGTTGAAGCGTAAATTAAATAAAACAATGGACGGTGGCTAACACGTGAAATGTCAAACGTTTTTGACAGATGATGTTCAATTAAGTTTAATAGAATGTTTTACGCGAATATTATTTAATTATGATTAAATAGTAAGTAGTTTTGTTCGTAGTTACATTTATACACAAAAACGTTATTAAACGGATCGCAAGTATTACTAGAGACTCATGTATTATATAGAGACTCAAAATATCAACTTTTTTAAAATTTAATATGAAAATGCATTTTTTGGCATATTTTTCTCAAACACGGTGCTCTGAAAGATCTCATCTGTATAATTATATACTCATTGGCATTTATAAAACATTTTCTAGGTTATATTATTTTTTATTTACGTTGTTTAAAATCAGAACCTAAATTTGGTATCGATCAAAGGGACATTTTGACGAATGACATTTTCCCAGTTATAATTTTCCAGAATTTATCGAAGAATAGATAGTAATATATAAAGGTCCGGGGTTAAAAAGTTCCACCACAGATGTGTCAAAAATCAGTGAAGCTAAGCATTGTTTAATAGCAATATTAGAAAGTAGAGGAAAAAAGTTGTAAAACCAGCTATAACTTTGATTCTCATGACTTTGCTATCGGGAATAAATGGTAATCTTTGAAAATCCATAATAAAAGTATTTGCTTCTGTTGGTAGTTAATAATATAATTATTTTGTAAAATACCTTTAATATTATAATAAGGCTTTGAACCTTTTTGCCACCTGCCTGTTTCAAGTTACCCTGCCAATAGGGTAGAAAGGTCTAGATAACAAATTTTTGAAAGAGATCAAAAAGGCACATTTCTACAATGATGAAGTAGAAGGCAGTTTACTGAACGTAGTCAGATAATTGTTCGTTTGATATGTGTTATTTGTTGTGATATAATTGTTATGGTTTTCACATTATAGTTTATATTTGCTCAAAGTCAAATTGGACCTTTGTGCCTCGCCCTGCTCTACATATATATTTTTTATTAAATTTACTTTAATTCATCGAATGTTACTTGAAACTTTTCAAAAAGCAGGTCAAAAAAGAAATACTTAATTCATTTTCTATCTCTCCTCGCAAAATTTGAAAATTGTGTATAAGCTCAGTAGTATTAATTACAATTTTACACAAAATTAGGAATCCCAAAAGAATCTGAAAAACTTGAAACGTAATCAATAAGTCGCAAGACCAAAAAAGACTTGGATGGATTATACTATGTTTTCTATAGAAAGTGTATAAAACTTCCAGTTTGATTGTATTGACAAAATATAGACAAACTAATGGAGTTTATTGTTTTGATAGTACCTCATTGTGTATAGCATTCAAGCAACACATCCTTATACACTTAAAGTATTATTATTTTTTATTCTCTAGAAATTGTTTAGAATATACCTTACTTAGCAAAACAACGTTTGCCGGGTCAGCTAGTGAAATATATAAATAGACAAAAAAGTAATAAAAATAAATGTTGTAACATTGACATTATAACAAATTGCATCTTGCATAATTTTTTAGAATAATGGTAATTAAACATTAAATATTTACCAGTAAACGAACTTGAACTTGGCTGTTAGGTTTGTTAATTACAACATGGGCATTTGTTAGAATAAGTCCATCCTGTCTTACTATAAACCCTGATCCATTCGAAGCTGTAGCTGGTTGCCCAGTAAAGAAATCTAATCTTCTACTGTCTTTAATTTCAATATAAACAACTGAAGGAGCTGATACTTCTACCACATCAGCTATGAAATTGTATTGACCTCGTCTTCCTTTCAAATCTTTGGAAAATATACTTGCAGCTTTGACAGAAGGGAAAACGGAAAAATCCTTTTTAAACAAACACAATCCAAAACACCCAACTGCCAGAAGGCACATGTTGGTAAATAATCTTGTACTATCCGTTTTATCATGATCTGCACCATGGCACAAATGAAAAGATAGATATTTCTGTTTGTTTAGTACGCTGCAGAAAACTTTTGGTGTTCCATAACATTGCTTGAAAATCACTCTCGACAATCCCATTGTGGGATTAAATAGTTTGACGTTTATCATTGGATAACCTATAATTCCACTCGCCTGTCAAAAATTGAATTCGCATAAAATTCTTTTGCTAGGGATTGCATTTTTGATCACATATCGCATAGTGATCTGTCAAAGTATATAAAACCAATTACAACTTCAAAGTGGAAAAATATTTGTCAATTATTAAAAAAAATGACTTGGTTGGTCTAAATGCACTAGATAGATTTTGAACCATTTCGAACTAATGTCAAATGATATTTATAAATTTCAATAGCTAGACGTCAAATATACACGGTTTATGCAAACTTATGTGGTAATATACGACCGTAATGCCGTTGTTCGACCTCAGACGAAATGGATTATTTGGGTGAAATTATAGCGATCGGCGTAGATGCTGCAATCTTAATCTTGTGCTTGAGACAATACTATCGACAGGAAAATACCATTGACAGTATACAGGTAATATATATATATATATATATATATATATATATATATACAGGTAATATATATATATATATATATATATATATATATATATATTATAGAATTTTATGATATGAGTGGAACGAATATTAATTGTTTAATATGAACAAAACAGCACTCAGATTTGTTTAACACAACTTTATTTTATGATTACAGACGTTTCGAGACCATGGTGTGTCTCATCTTTAGTGTAATTTCAAAAACAGTTACTTATATACTACACATTCTTTAATAATTTATTTAAATTTCATTTAATTTTTGATATACAAAAAACACCAACTATTCCTTGCAATGCTTGACACAGTACTAAAGAAACATATAACACTTACAGAAATATTCTAAACAAATTTGAAGTACTTATCTAGATGGAGACAGAGAGGGTATCATTATAATGTAAACAAAAGGAGTGCTATCGCATACAAAAATCAATAAAAATGAAAAAACAAATTAATTTATTGAAAAGAATAAGATAAATGAAAAAATTTTTATAAATTATTAATGATGTTTATATAAGTGTCATGTAAAATATTTGTGTCGGTTCTTAGATTTATGCTATTGTTAGTCCGAACTATTAACATTGATTCTGCCATGCTCCGTTTAAATAAGTCTTTCTCATGAAATAAATTTTATATGGAATTTTACAATCTTTCAAATTTGACAATCCCCAAATTTTATTCCATGAGAAAGACTTATTTAAACGGAGCATGGCAGAATCAATGTTAATAGTTCGGACTAACAATAGCATAAATCTAAGAACCGACACAAATATTTTACATGACACTTATATAAACATCATTAATAATTTATAAAAATTTTTTCATTTATCTTATTCTTTTCAATAAATTAATTTGTTTTTTCATTTTTATCGATTTTTGTATGCGATAGCACTCCTTTTGTTTACATTATAATGATAACCATTCTGTCTCCATCTAGATAAGTACTTCAAATTTGTTTAGAATATTTCTGTAAGTGTTATATGTTTCTTTAGTACTGTGTCAAGCATTGCAAGGAATAGTTGGTGTTTTTTGTATATCAAAAATTAAATGAAATTTAAATAAATTATTAAAGAATGTGTAGTATATAAGTAACTGTTTTTGAAATTACACTGAAGATGAGACACACCATGGTCTCGAAACGTCTGTAATCATAAAATAAAGTTGTGTTAAACAAATCTGAGTGCTGTTTTATTCATATTAAACAATTAATATTCGGTACACTCATATCATAAAATTCTATAATATATATATATATATATATATATATTATACACTACAGCCTCGGGCTCTGTCACATAAACTACGTTCTCTGTGCAAAATATATTATATATTTCACAAATATTTTGCCATACTCTGTTCAACAAATTAATATATAAAAAAACAAGTTAATGTATATATGATAGTGCAAAATTGTGTTCCTAGCGCTAGCTACTGATGTAAGACCATATTTATATCCACTGATGATGACATAAAATACTATGTCGAAACGTTTGGAAAAATTAAAGATTAACTTCTAAATCTTTGCCTTTTATTTGATGTATGCCCTTGAAGAACTTACTCATATTTCTCAACATCAAAATTAACTACTTTAACATATATATATATATACAGTAGAATCCGATTAGTATGACGCCGGATATATTGACAACCGCTTAATACGACGTAATCGCACTAGGAATTTGGTTTCCATATAAAATTCCTTAACAGCTGTCTAGTCGGATATATTGACATCGCTTACATTGACATGTCGCTTATAATGACCCATTTTTTGCAAAAAAATATGTCCAACTATAATGACCGACATGATTTTACATGATGTGGCCAAGTCTACGAAAGCAATTGCTATGTCTTTTGTGCACAATGGCATCATGGACTGTTATTACAATAAAATTATGTAAAGAAATCAATCAAAAATTACTGATTACTTACATTAAAAAAACACATTTGTATGTTTATGGGTAGGGTAGACTAATTATTAATGGCCCACCACGGATATCTCATAAACAAATAAAATTAGATTTTTTTTAACAATTATATTTGATAGTAGAAGGCGAAAAATGTATAAATTCATAACCAGCCATCACCTTTATTCTTATGACCTTGCTATCAGAAGATAAGCAGCACATGACTGCGATAAAAAGGACCAGCTGAATCTTTACTTTTGCAAAGGTGTAAGCAATAAAATAGTAAAGTTTAAAAAAAAGCAATTTCACAAGAGATTAATTGAATAAATTGTTATTCCAGCTCTTCTGATGAATATTTCTGACCAATAGCAGATCAATGTAATATACTGTGTTCTCTTTGTAACAAATGTACCCACAGAATTAATATCTTGCATTGGTTCAATAATGTAGTGTAAAATGCCTTTAAAATTTAATAGAAGAAATTGCATCTGTTCGCCCCCTGGTTTTCCACTTTACCCCGTATGTGAAGTAAAATAGGTCAGATACCAAATGTTTAAAAAATAGTAAAAAATATAATATTTATATAATTAGGAATTATGTACGTATTACGTATGTATGTAAGTTTTTCTGAACATAGTTCGATAGATGCTTCTTTGATGTATGTTATGTGTTGTTCATTGGGTTTAGACAGTGTAATTACCATAAGTCAAATTGGACCGTTGTGCCCCCGCCCTACCCTATGTCAATTTTATTTTATATTAAATTTTAATGTGTCATTTTTATTTTTAATTAAAACGTTTGTATAGGCTTTTCTTTTAAATTACTAAAGCATGTAACATATTTGCATATTAAAAAGTTTTTCTTCAGTACGCTTTTGATGACGACCGGTTAGTATGACGAGATTTCGGCGTCTCTTCGATGTCATACTAAGCAGATTCTACTGTAATTGAAAATATTATAAATTATTAATGATGTTTATATAAGAATCGTGTAAAATTGTGTTGTGGTATCCATTTGTTTACATCATAAATACTCATCCTGTCTCTTCATCTCGATACTTAAGATTTGTTTAAAATATTTCTGTACCATTCACATGTTTTAGTATTGTGTCGAGCTCTGCAAGTGATAGTTGGTATTTTTTGTATTTTCAAAAATAAATGTAATTTAAATAAAATATTAAAGTATATGTAGTATATAAATAACTGTTTTGAAATTACACTGAAGATGAGGCATACCATGGTCTCGAAACGTCTGTAATTACCAAATAATGTGTGTGTTAAAAATCTGAGTGTTGTATTGTTCATATTTAACATTTAATATATCTTATCTTATACGAGGTCTGTTCAAAAAGTACCCGGAATTTTCGTTTTTTCAAAAAAATATTTATTTATTCGTCTACATTAATGTGGTCCCCTTCAAAGTAGTCCCCCCCAGATATAATACACTTATGCCAGCGTTTTTTCCAATTTTCGAAGCACCCTTGATATTCACTTTTTGATATGTCCTTGAGCACTCTCAGCGATTTTCTTCAATCGAGGAAAACCGCCGTCCTTTCATGGGTCTCTTCAACTTTGGGAATAGGAAAAAGTCACACGGAGCCATATCTGGTGAATTTTTGCACTTTGCAACACTTTATTTCATTTTTTACGCAAAATTTAATACAAATTGTAAAAATCGCCGAGCTCAGAAAAACACGTCGAACCTTAGCCTACCACTAACTAACACGTCGAACTACCACAGACAAAGTAAACAGTGAATATAGCTGAAAATTTCATCATACTTTAGGGGCATGTATACCAACACAATAAAAAAAAAATTTCGACAATCAGACACTCCAGACCCGCGAAATTTAATTATTAGTAATTCCGGGTACTTTTTGAACACACCTCGTATATAAAAATGGAGCTCTCGATCAAATGATCTGGTAAAACTCGAAAACGGCTGAACCGATTTGGCCAGTCTTAGTCTTGAAAAATTCGTGCCAATCCAGAGAAGGTCGGAAAAGTGAGATAATATTTCAAAATCGCGTAGAAACTTTACATTTTTAATTTGAAATCTTTGTAGAAGCGTAATTTAAATAAAACAATGGACGGTGGCTAACACGCCAAATGTCAAACATTTTTGACAGATGATGTTCAATTATGTTTAATAGGATGTTTTATCTATATTATTTAATAGGATGTTCTGTTTGTAAAAACTCAAAATATCAACTTTTTTGAAATGTTAATATAAAAATGCACTTTATAATATAAGCTATAATCTTGAGTTGAAGACTTTGCTATCGGGAGATAAACGGTAATCTTTAAAAATCCATAATAAAAGTATTTTCTTCCATTGGTAGATTTTTAGCATTAGTTAAAAATGTAAGCATTTTGTAAAATCCTTTAATATCCTAACAATTTTTTGAAAGACAGCAAAAAAAGCACATTTCTACAATGCTGAAGTAGCTGGAAGTTTTACTGAACGTAGTCAAATAATTGTTTATTTGAAATGTGTTATTTGTTGTGATTATAATTGGTTTGCTTTTCATAATATAGTTTATATATGCTCAAAGTGAAATTGTGCCTCGCCCTGCTCTACATATGTACTTTTTATTAAATTTACTTCAATTCATCGAATGTTACTTGAAACTTTTCAAAAAGCAGGTCAAAGAAGAAATACTTAATTCATTTTCTATCTCTCCTCGCAGAAATTTGAAAATTTGGTATAAGCTCAGTAGTATTATTTACAATTATATACAAAATCCTGAATCAAAAAAGAATCTGAAAAACTTGAAACATAATCAATAAGTCGAAAGACCAAAAAAGACTTGAATTGGATTATACCATGTTTTCTATAGAAAGTGTTTAAAACTTCCAGTTTGATTGTATTGATAAAATATAGACAAACTAATGGGGTTTATAATACTTCATTGTATATAGCATTCAAACAACACATTCTTATACACTTAAAGTATTAATATTTTTGATTCTCTAGAAATTGTTTAGAATATACCTTACTTAGCAAAACAACGTTTGCCGGGTCAGCTAGTATGCATTGTTCTGTAATAGCATGATCATACGTGCTTTTAATAAAAATATGAATTATTGTTCAATGTTGTTCAAAGTCCAAGATCTTTACATGAACACGGAAGACGCCATTCCTAGAATTGTCACGTACAATGTATAATATATAGAGTCAGAATAATTTGTAGACCAGTGATGCCTTAGGCAGAAGTCTAGCCAGTGATGTTTTAGGAAAAATTGGAGAGTATGTCTTAGCACGAATCTATGCTAGTTTGTGAAGTGAAGTTATTAAAGATAAATAAAGTTATAGTCGAAATTAGATTCAGTGTTTGTATTCTACTTTGCGTAAAGACATCTTTCAGCCTATACCAATATAAAGTGCTCACGGTTCTGAGGAGACTCATACCAGTGTTGTTATTTTCTATTATAAACTCTAAGCTCTGCCCACGACACCAGAACAAGGTTGGACTGATCTAGCACCCCTTGGAGAGTGGATCAATCTACATTTGGAACCCAACCCAATCCAATCAACCCTACAACAACAACTCATAACATTTCATGGTGTCAAGCGGTGGTTTTACCTCGTGGTGAAGTGCAGTGTTGAGTGTGCTGTGAGTGTCGAGCAAGAAGCTGAGTAGCAGAAATTTTGCATCCGGCGCTGCAGCAACAGCTGAAAACCAGCATAATCAGGACTGGCACGAAGTATCAGAGGCATCAAAGGTGGCGGCATACCAAATAACCCGTGAGAAGGGCGACTTTACGCAGAGGGACAAGGACATACTCTACCCAAATCGACGCAGACTTCTCGATTAAGGCTCACTCCCCAAGTAAGAAAAACCAATCCTTCAACATATCCAGACCAGAACATCATAGTCGTCAATTTTTTTTTTTAAAATTTTATTTGTCAATTAGAATATAAATAATAATATTTTGTCAATTTGAATATTTTTTTAAGTATTAGGATTTTGGTTGTACTTGGGTAACATTTTTGTAACAACGGGCAGTTCGATTATTGTTCACACCACTATTATTTTGTTGACTTCACGTAACCATCAAGGTTAAGTTCAAGTAAATATTGTTAACTAAGCATTTTTAACAAAAACAATTACGAGCATTGCCAGGTCCAAATTTCATAACAGAAATATTTCATTATTTCAAAATAATTGTAATGATTAGAAATAAAGTCATCAAGTAATAATATAAAGACTCAGAAAGTAATATTGAAAAGTTAGTGACTCTAGTTAATGACTTTGAGTATCCTATCAAGAGTAAATTTACATCTGTTGATCTTTTCATTACGTCGCGATTTTTAATGTGGCTTTAAATGCCAGTATAAAGGCGAAATGCCTAAAGGATTTAGTGTAGCCATTGTGCCACTTTTCAGGCGATAGTGCCAATCCTTCATTTCAGATAGCCTAATATTAAATTGTTCAAAAGAAACAATAGGTATCTGACAAATAAATAATTAATAAGGGTAGGAAAAACCCGAATGGAGACTCGTAAGGTTAGTGAAAACCGCGAGATCTTAAATATATTTGACGTAATTTTGATGACTTATAAGACTCATGAATCCGCGGGAACGAGTCAATAAAATCTTTCAAATAAATTTATTTCGTTATTTTCATTTTAGGACCAAAACACGCTCGTTGATTTTATCGATATTATTAAATATTGCATGAGAATAAATTCCAACTATTAATGTTGAGTATAGAACAATTTTAAAATGTTACATGAGAATGAAATTTTAATCTTGAATATTACATTTAATGAACTTTGAAGTTTGGTGTGAAAATAATTGAACTTGAATATGTAAATTTCAATAATAATTAAATTTAATCAACTGCCCATACCACAAAATGTTACAGAAATGAAGGGGATAAATTTAAATTAATGTCAATAATAGCAATGTAACTATCCCCATAGAACAGAATTATAAATTGAAAAAAAAATAGGAAAATAGAAAAAGTCCATGTTTGAATTATTGATACTAAATGATTTCATTTTAAATTCAATTCAATTTGTTGGTGCTATATTGAACGAAAAATATTTCCTAAATTTCCTCTACAAATATAATAAATTTTATTTTGAAAATTAGTAAGCGATTGAGTAAGTTTGTTTTCTATTATTTGCGTAAATTGAAAATAATAATATTTTTCCTAATTGAAATTTTTATAATTGTTCACACTAATTTCGATTATTTGCGTTAATAGCATAACAAGCTTTATCATATTTCTATTTTGAAATTTGAGTAAAGAAATATCACGTAACATTCGGATTCAAACTTTAACAAGGCACGCGCAATACAAATTTGCTTATGATGTATTTTATGAATCTTGATGTATTTTACAAAACTTAATTTTATTATTATTTAAAAAAAAAAAATTGAAGTATTAATTGGCGTCATATTTTTATTCAATTAATGTTCCATTAATTTGATATTTTAATTTTGATTTTGAATAATTTTATCGCAATTAATTTTGTTTTATTTGACTTATTAATATTTTCATAGTTGTATTTTTATTTTTATTGATAATAACTATGAACTTTGACCATTCAAAGTAGATATAATAAAACCAATAAATTTCTTTGAAATGAATTTCTATCACCTTAATCATTCATTCACTTATAAATAAAGGTAATTTTTATGCATGGTATCAATAATTCACATGGAAATAAAATACAGAAAAAAAATAATAATAAATTGTATCAATTATTCTGAAATTGAATGGCCACTCATTTTTTATTAATATTGATTTTATTAATTGATTTTATTAATACTTTTATATTGTATATTTTTATAGTAAAAATAGAATGTTCAGAATAGAATTTGAAAATAAATGTTATAAAATTAAGAGGGCCCAGAAATGTATTAATGTAAAAGTATGTGAAACACAATTATTAGATTACAAGACGAATTATCACTATCTTCCATTTCTATCTAGGCATTTTTATTTCTATCTTATGTAATGCATAAGAATGGCAACAAGTGTGCAATCTATTTTTTTTTTAAATCTTCGAAGATTGATACAAGATTCTCATACAGCTTCAGTAAGAAATAATCGCGCGCGCATTTTTAAACATCCTATTAAAAATATTGAACTGAATCTGACAGAGTATTTTGATCATATTTTAAATTCGAATCAAATAAATAAATTATCATACAAAATTAAACAATTTATTATAATGTTAAATTTGTGAGATCTTGCACCTTGTTAATATTCTTATGCAAGTAGAAAAGTTGTTTTTATCGAAACTAATTAATGATAGTGATAATGGATCAAACGATTACTTTTGTCACATACATTTTTGAAAGTTTTATTGATGTGTAAATAATATAAATCAAATATGACCTATTTGATATACAAAATTTTGCATACATAATCATTTTAATGCCGTGTATACAAATCAGACACACAAATTATGCAATTATGCGAATTTTTATGGTATTAGATTGCATACTCTATCCAATAAGAATATCCTAACAATGTAACTAATTATTGTTTATAATATTTTGCTGTATTATCAAAATCCTACTTTTGAAATTAAACAAACTATTGAAGCTGAATTGAAATAATTTTAATGAACTATTAAAAATCACAATATGCAGCAAAGTATTACAACAATATTAGATTTTTTTTATGTTAATTTTTTATTCATATTATCATCAGAATTGTTATCTAATTACTATATTGCAGACATACTACAAAATTTTATACTTTTACTTTTTCATATTTTGCAAATTTTCAAATTTTTCTCTCTTTTGCTATAATCAATTGTACCATAGATTACTATTTTTCATTTATCGAGGACGATAAATTGTTTTAGAGGGGAGGAATCCCAAATAAATTGTAATTTCTTTGTTTTTTTTTTCTTTTCAATTGTTAGAGGACTAACAATATTCTTTAGGGGTGGCGTGTTCTGTAATAGCATGATCATACGTGCTTTTAATAAAAATATGAATTATTGTTCAATGTTGTTCAAAGTCCAAGATCTTTACATGAACACGGAAGACGCCATTCCTAGAATTGTCACGTACAATGTATAATATATAGAGTCAGAATAATTTGTATTAACCAGTGATGCCTTAGGCAGAAGTCTAGCGAGTGATGTCTTAGCCAAAAGTCTAGCCATAATGTCTGAGAGTAGTCTTAAATAATCTAAGTGGAGATTATGTCTGTGAAGTAAAGCAATAAATACAGTGTAAAACATTATAAGTGGATTTTTATTGGAACCAGAAGTTTGTCTCTTCCAGCGAATACCTTATTGAAAGGACCCATTAATCTGAAGAGAACTCGCATCAAACCAGTCGGTCAAATATTATTCCTACTGCTCGACCCAAGGCATCAGGAAGGGTTGGACGGACATTATTACCATATCGCATAAAGAAGCTACTACAGTAACCAATATCCCGGACTGTGGATCTTACAACAAAAGGACCTCCAACCCATACCCGAACCATACTACCAACCCCTCATATCATTTCAGCATATATATATATATAAATATATATATATATATATATATATATATATATATATATATATATATATATATCTTTTAGACTTTTTTGTGACATTATCAAATTGTAACCAAGCATAGCCAAATGAGAAAACAGGCTTTTGCAACTTACTAAGTTCTTAATGCAAGCCGATTCTTTGGTCTGTTTTTAGAAGTAGTCAGAGCAGAATTTATAGCCAATCTTTTGACTTATTATGAATAATCATTCTTTTTTCATTTCCAACTTAAAATGAAAAGTTTTTTAAAAGCCTACTTTTCATTTATAGACCCAATATTTGAAATGAACTGATTTGAAACTGTATAAAGCAATAATGAATATATTTTGTTGATTATCATATTTCATGATCATTATTTTTGTCAGGCTGCACCGACATTTGAAATATCTACTAGCTTACAAGATGCAGTCAAAAATAGTCCAGAATCAAGAATACCTTATGTTGTGCTTAGAGGTACTGTAAAATGTATGGGAGCTCCATTAACAAGCAAAAATAGTCCAAATATTTCTGGGGCAGTGCAAAGAGTGACAATTAGCGAACATATTGTGACACGAGCTTCAGCAGGGTTTTGGTCTGAGCAGACAAGACCATTACATGTTTCACAAAATGTAGCTCCATTTTCATTGTTCAAAGATAATTTTGAAGTTGAAGTCGAAGATGCATTGTCTGCTGAACTTTTAGGTAAATAAATTAATTAAAGTTAATTATAATTGATCAAAAATTTTGTTGTATATATATATATATATACACTTTACAATATATATATATATATATACACTATAAAAACCCATTTTCATATCTAGCCCAATAATGTTCCTAAAACATTGTAAAATAGCGATTTATTAAGATTTTAATTGATATAATTTTGTTCAATACATGATTTTGTTTAAAATGTATATTTTTGAAGATATTAGCAAAAAATGATGAAAAACGCAAAAAAGAAACAAATTTTCAGTAGCTAGTAACTTGAAAAGTATTTGCTTTTTTGAAAAACATTATTAAACATTTTTCTCTTATAATTAGTTTTTTTATCGATATTGGGTATATTTTGAAAAAAGTAAAATTACACCACTGAAAAGAAACGTCATCCCCCAAATGTCATACTTCTGAACTTAAGAGTAAGATGAGCTTAATTCCAAAATTCTAAACGAAATGGAAAACAGTAAAAAAAGTTCAGACCGAAAGAGCTCCATTGAGTAAATATTCCGTACCCAAAGACACACATATGAATTTTTGACACAATGAAACTTCTAAATAATTTTTTTTGTGACTTAGTATAGTAAGGCAAAACGACTGCAAATTGAATATTTTTGAGCGCAATCACTTATGGCTTGTCTCCTTTGCACGAATTCGTACGGCGAATATGTTCGCAAAATGCGCAAACAAAATTATTGCAAGCAAAAGCAAACCACGCGCACGTTGAGAACACGATTCGCCGTGGGCGTCAGACGCATGTTATATTATTTGCTTCTTATATTAATTTAATTTTTAGCACATCTCAGCTTCTTTTTGGCAATAATAATGTAGTCCTTACATTTTTCTTATTCATAATCATAAATATATTATATTTTAATATTGTCTTATTGTTAGCCTATAAGTGAATGGAAATGTTTGGCAAATGACAGTCGTCTTTTGTTTTTAATGTCAAACTATGCCTTAAATATTTTCAAGGGCAAACAATGATAAGCGGTTTTTTGTAATTTTTTCCATTTATTTCTACAATCTAACTATATTTCTATGAATCAAAACATTCTAAAAAATTTCCCGAACAAACTTCAGGAAGATTCATGAAAATCCGAATAAAAGTTCAGGAGGATTAATGAAACTTACATTGTTACAGAAGAATTTTATATATAAGATATATATATATATATATATATATATATATAACCAGTCATGTCAAACAGCCGGCCCCTGGCCTGAATCAATACGGCCCGTGATCTCAATGCGTCACATAAAAAGAATCTAGTCTAACAATAAGTCTCATTTTGATTTGTTTTAAATATTTGTTCTCTCAACTATGTTTGAGCGATTTATGTACAGTAAAATATTCATATTTGCATTAGATATACGAATTTAGTTATTTTAGGGGACATTTTAGTCTAGAGACATGAGTTTCGTGTGGTTCATAAAAAAGATCATAAAAATGGCAAACGATATTTTTACTATCATTTTTTTTATATTACATAGTTCATACCAAAAACAAGTCTATAAATACCAGAAGTCTGTAAGTAAATCGGTTTCGCACGGTTCTCTAATGTCGGCGCCATAACAGACTCTAGCTAGCATAGAAACGCAGAGACAAAAAGTTAAAAAAGATTAAATTTAAAATGTATTATAGATTTATATAAATTAAACAAGTAAAAAATTGATATATACCGCACCAGGAAAAACATTCACAAAAATTTATATATTATTAAATATATAAATATTATTATATATTTTGGCTATAATCTTAACCTTCAAATATAATATAAATAACATAAAATATTTTTTGAGTAATTCCTTACTCTAATAATTACTTATATTACCAAAACTAAATTACCACTTTATCATCTTTTACCCCATCTTTGAAACGTCTGGAAATGCCTTGGCCAAAATCTAATCAGCACGTCTACTTTTCAATGAGATCGAATGTTTTTTGAATCGGTTAATCTCTGCTTTCGAAATCCCCGACAAAAAATTGCCTTTCCACATTCATACACACACACACAAACACACACACAAAGGGTATGGGCGTGTTTCCATACAGAATCGGCCCTACCCTGGTATTTAAATAATTTTGATGCCATTTTATAGATGTTTTTGAGAAAATCGGATATACCAAATTTCAAATCTGTAGCTCATCATTTGGCCGAGATATAATTGAAAATATCAATCATATATTTACATGCATACAGAAAAATTGTATCCAAACATATAGACAAACACACACATACATCTGTTTTTTCTGAGGTATGCCAAAATGTTCAGAAACCTTTGAAATGTAAGGATATGCAAAAATTTTCATTTTCGATTTTTTGCGATTACTATAACTTACCCTACGGGAAGTTAATAAATATATTGTTATAATTATTATTGCATTAAATTAATTAAAATGAATGCTAGTAGCTATTTTTCTTATGTGTTAAAAAAGAGAAAAGAAAAATGTTACTATGTCAAGGTAAATACTTAACTATATTTGCAGATATGGATATAATTTGGGACAATTATGAACCTAGTCAACTTGGAATGATAGATCATATTTGGGGTTTCTTTTCTGGAGTTCGACAGAAAGGACTCCAAAGCACTGAGGAAATGCTACGAGAGGGTGCCCTAATAACAGGTATTTTATTTTGGGTAACTTATATCATATCACAAATGATTAAGTTTTATAAACTTGATAAAACTTAAGCCTTAGTTAAGGAAATGACTTAGCCATTAAAAAGTTTGTTTAAATATTTGTTTTGTTAAGACAATTTGGGTAAAATCACTTGTTGTAGAATCGCAATATTAGATGGACAACTAAGTGGTCAATCAATATTTAGGTGTTTGACGTAATTCTAATGAAAAATATTTTGTTATTGGGTAGGAGGTAACTCAGCTATCAATCAGTAAAAAAAAGTTTCTTGATTGGTTGCGCAGCTTTTACTGAAAGATGTAAAACCAAAACAAATATTTGCAATATTTTGCTTTTATTATTGCAAAGAGAAAAAAGTATTTTGAGTCTAAAAGAAGTTATGTGCTGATTATGGTGACGAATTCGTAAAACAAGAGCGGTGTCAAAATTGTTTTGCCAAATTTCGTTCTAATTATTTTTCACCCAAAGATGGTAAATGCTTTGAACCTTTATTTCAAATTGATGACGACCTAATCAAAACAATAATTGACTCTGATCTTTACAATAAAACTCGGGATTTGCAGAGAATCTTCATTTATCACCTAAAACAATTTGGCTATGTTTAGAAACTTGATACAAGAGTTCCTTATGAACTGAAAACGTATTTAATGCAATGCATTTGAAGCTTTTTTTTTAAAAAAATCTGCATTTACTTAGTTGCTCACCTGATATATCAGTAGGGTGCGGTGGACAGACGTGGGTCACAGGTTGAATGGGGTTCCCAAATAATAATACTAGTGACATGTATGTCGAATCCCGCACATATTTATTATATTTTGATACTTGCTCAATTTTGAAAGGCATTTGGAGGTTATAAACCAACTTTCGTACAGAGAAACGCGCTAAAAATTTCGCCGAGAAAGTTTTTACCCTCGAACGCTCTTACGTAATTTGTCATCGAATTATCATGAGACAAAATCAAGTAAATATGCAATATATTATATAGACATATACTCTTCAAAATGCAAAGTGATTTTTATCGATTGTTTACATTGTGTTTTTGTGGGATGCATATACTCGTAGATCGTCTTTTCAACGCATCATTACATCCCCTGAAAACAGAGAGGTTGCGGCAGAAACAGCACAGCGTCAAAAATCGCAAGTATCAGCGAAAGACTAATTCTAAAAAAGACTTCTAAGAAGACCAATACTTCATAAACAGTTGTGAAAAATAGAAAAAAAGAAAGTTTTCGGTTTCTTCAAATGGAGACATCCATTTTTGCATGATTTGCTATAAATTAATGCCGGCAAAGCTGATAAGAAAAAGCTCCATCGAGTGCGATAACGGCGACAAACCCTTCCATTTGAAGTGCGTCGATATGACCAACTACACCCACTTGATGTACATCAATTGCGCCTAAAATGTGTGCTTAAATGTTTTTCTCAACAATCTTATCATTCCGACTTTATTACTTCTTTTCAGACATTAAAATAGCATTATTACGAAAGTCATTGTTTTTTTTAATTTCTATAGTTCATTTTGTTTTACCAATTATGAATTTTGTAAATTTGACAACGGATTCGTAATTAGCGCATTTGAAAATTTTCAGGGTAAGAATTTGTAGCATATAGCAGGCTTTTTTCAGACAAAAATTTGGGTGGTCCACATCTTCCTCCACACGGTAAATGCACTTTTTTGCAATTCAAAAAGATAAATATTTCCAAAGATAATTGCAAGCATCTGCTATGATAACAAGTTGCATTTTGGAATACTCTTGCAACTAAAAAAATAAGAAAATATTTTCATTTTTAACCATTTTACAACCAAAAATAAAAACTATGATCGATGGAAAGGTCAATACGATTAGTATATTTTTTTTATAAAAATTGTTAAAAAAATAAATCGTTAAACAAAATAAATGACATTTGGCGGTCAAATATAATTTTTATACTTATCCATATCTAATTATCGAATATTTCGTTTCGTATCAAAATTTATAATGTTTAGCCTTTATACAGCTATCATAGCAGCTCTCATTTTAGTGCCAGTTTTTTGTGCAAAAAATATTTTGAGGTTTTTTAGAATTTCAAAAAAAATCCCCAATAATTTCGAATTTTAAATTTTATTAAAAATCTTGAAAAAATTTATTTCAAATTATTGATTATTTTTATTCCTTCGAATGTTACAGGAATTTGCCTGAAGACATAATACCATGCACTAGTGCGCTAGTTACAATTTATTCAGAGAATGAATAATTTTAACTAAAATTAACATTTTTTTAACTAAAATAGTAACGCGGTCATAGTGGAAACTTGATTATTGTTTATTATATTTATTTTTATTCCATATATTAATACTTTCGGATCTTTTCCAAAATAATCTAATTAATATGTTAAACAGTCAAACAAACTATAGTTGAAAATATATCATAATGTATTAAAAGTAAAAATATTTTACAGTATATTCAAGTGTTATATATAAATACATTACTTATCATTTCAATATGAATATAATTTATCCACTAAATATAATAAAAGGATTTGTCAAAATAATTAAACTATATCTTAATTAATTTTATTTAAATTATTGTTTCGGTTGACAACTCTTTTTCTAACTTTATTTTCATATTTGTATTATCATCATTTGTTCTGATAATTATTTACATACTAGATTTTAATGTATATAAAAGTGACAGTAAATTGTTTTTATAAATGTCAAAGCCTTGGTTAAAGCCAATGATCAACCAAGATTATTATATTATTTATATTATCAATGATTATCTCATTCTATATGAATAAATAAAATTCATTAATGTTGCCTACAACATTTTAGCTTTTAATTAATGTGAACATTTTAAAATGTTCATAAAATTATCTTATAAAAATATATATAAAATTATTGTTATAAGCATTTTTAGATTATAATTTTTCATCGTTTTTTTAATTTAAAAATTACATTGAAAGTTTTAGAATTTTTAAGAATTTTAAGGAATACGTTAATATTTAAATTTTTGCTTATTTTTACTCTTTATAAATATACTTTATAATAAAATATTCCACTATCATGTAATGTACTGATATGGTTCCAAGAGAATTTTCATTATTAAAGTCTTTCATGATCTTCCAAAATAATGCTGAAATTCTAAAAAATGTATCATTTTCCAACATATTATCACGTCTTTATTCTTGATGATCCGACAGTGGGCAAGAAACTCAAATTGGACACTGAATGATCTGAAATGAAATATACATTCACTTCTACTAGGTATTGGAGAGTTATCAACATGTGATGGGAGTTTGAAACTGCAATTACCAAAATCTGGACAACCTCTGTTTCTAACAACAATGACGAAAAGTGGACTAGTTTTTAAACTGACTGCTGGGCAAAATAATATCAGGTTATTATTCAAATACGAATACTGTTTTGATTGTACTTTTTTATCATATTTTTATTTTGGCTGAGATACTTTAAGTCGTGTGATAACTTGTATTATTATATTCATTAATCATTAACTCCTCCGCTACATGGTTCGCCCATAGGCGACATTTGCTTGACGATCTGTGTGTACGTGTGTCGCCTATAGACGATATAAAGAAATAAATTATTGGGAATTCTAATTTGTTATTGCAATGATTAGGTTCTGTAGAAACGCAATTGTTAATTTTTAAATATATTTTTATTGATAATGATTAGAGAATTTTAAAATATGATGTGTAAAAACACTAATGTCAAACCCCTGCAGAAGTGTCACTTCCGCCCAGCGTAAAACATCGTAGCGAAAGGGTTAATTGATTATGCATGTACATAACCACAGCATATATATATATATATATATATATATATATATATAACAAATGTATTCTGAGTGGATAATAGATATTAATTTGGAAATATGAACAAACAACACTCTTTTTTGCACTAATTTAATAAATAATAATTTTCACAAACGTTTCGAGACTAGGTTTGTCTCATCATCAGTGTGTTATAATTTAAAATTTAAAATATGGAAACCTAAATTAGCATTTTGTGTTATCTATTACAAGTCGCTCGATATACTGTCCTCTGCCACATCAACGGTCGTCGGTATCCGCATTCTCTAACCACTTGAAAACCACTTATGTGATGTTTTGTACTTTGGGTCCACTTTACAATATTGATGAAATGTACAAGAAATCATGGTTTTCTTCATTTATTGGTTTTTATTATCAATGTTTATGAAAAAGTAATCACTGTTTTTTCACAATATTCACAAATAAAACCGCAAATATTTATCTATTTATTTCATTTTTTGAAATAACCGGCTTTTGCTCGTATAACAGCAGCGCATATTCTGGGCAGCGCACATCCTTTCAATCAACTTATGCAGTAATTCCATTGTTATTTTAATCCCGCGATTCTGTAGGAACGTGCAAAGCTGTTTTGTATTATTCGGTTGCAATTTTCTCACTTATCGGTCCAACTCGTCCCACAGCAACTTATCCGAGGAGGACAATCCATATATTTGAGTTTATTCTGTTTCTCTTTTGTTGAGTTGTAATCCCGGCAAAATTTTGAAATGTGCTTACAATCATTATCTTGCTGCACAACGAATCTACGAATTGTATATTGGACAGCACAATTCTTTTCCAACACGGAAAAGCGTGCCGTTGAAGAATGCTTTTTTGTTCATGATACTTTCAATTTTCGTCACCAACAATGTTTCCATCAAAACTTCCCCGGACTATATTTTATTCCCAATAGTATATTGAAAAACAATCCAAATATAAAGATTACATTCAACAAACATGATTTTAAATATTATTATGATTTGACATTTTTATTAAATTTTTACATATATTTTGTGACATAACAGGATCTGAATCTATTTTTCAGAATGATCTGTGTATTCTTAGGAGTTATAGGTGTTGTGTTATGTAGCTTACTAGCTAGAAAATTTTTGGAGAAAAAAGAAAAAGAACGTAAGGATTTGAGGCTTAAAGATCGCTTAGAAAAAACTAGGCGAGAACGAAGAGTAGCTGCGAGAGATAAAAATTTATCTGGAGATCAATTATGTATAGTTTGTGTACACAATCCTAAAGAGGTAATATATATACCTATATATTTATATGTAAAAAACACACATACACACACTGATATATATATATATATATATATATATATATATTATATATATATATATAGGGTGGCTGATAAGTAATGCAAGAAAGCTTTAATTTTCTTTTTAAATGTTATTGTTCAAAAGCAAAAATGTCGAAAATAACATCCAATTATAGAATCAGTTTAGATTTGTTCTAATATGCCACGTTTGGCACGAATTATGGTCTTCAAACTGCCGAAAAAAACAAAACACGAGCACACAAGCTGCCCAATTTGGAATGACTTCTCATCGTAGAAAACCAAATTCGGTAACTAGTCACTTTCGTGCAAGCGAAGCAACTCCTTGGCTCTTTCCCATCTAACTTTTTCCTGTGCATCGATAAGCTCTTGCACTTTTTGGAACTTCAATGGCCCTAGTCCAAGCTCATTTTTCAATATGAATTGCACCCATTCTTGCGATATGTTCAACCCACGAGCCATTTTTTTTACCACTGCGACACGAATTTTGTTAAATTTTTGCCTTCACTTTTCGGATAATTTCTGGTGTTGTTAGTGTTTTTGTTCGTCTACTTTTTGGACGCGGTGCGACACAGAGAGTATCACGGTTATGAGATATGGTACGAGAAACAAAATATTTGTTCGCATTTAAATGCTGGAGGGCTCTAACGATAGCCACTTGTGTTTTTCCAGCCTAATATAAAGCAATCACACTATCACGCTTGACTTCCATCACGAATAACGTTTTTTTTCTGAATGCAATTGATCAAAATGCTTTTGTACGCTTCTAAAAAACTTAATGAACAATTACTGGAATAAATCTGTCAGCTGTCTGATGAGCGATTTAGAAATGATAGCAGTCTGAAGTTGGTTGGAATACTTATCAGCCACCCTGTATATATATATATATATATATATATATATATATATATATATATGTTACATTTTTATAATTTTGATGTTGAAATATATATATATATATATATATATATATATATATATGTGAAAATAGATAGTGAAAGAAAAGAGTTCGAATAAATAAAAATAATACATTTTTAATAAAAAAAACTTAACTTTTAATTAAATAACAAAAAAATAGATACGCACTTGTTAATGTCAATTTTAGTTCTAAAAACAATTAAACAAAACCCTGAGTTTATTCTGTTCCAAACAATTTTAATTAATTAATTTTAAATATTTAATTATTTTTTGGTTTAATGAAATATGATTGCTAAAAGCTGAGAACGTCTATCGATTTGTTATTTAGAAGTGTCCTTTGATAACTCACAAAATTTTCCGAAATAAAAAATACTCTTCTAATTGCAACTCAACTAGGCTTAACCGTTAAAGCCTAAAAATATGACAATTCTGAAAATTTTGTTCTTTTATTTGTGGCTAAAAACTTTTTTTTAAGTTTGAGTAGAGCAATTCAGTCTTTCAACAAGAAGTTGCATTGATCTAAATTAATAAATACATTGATATAATAATGTAAATTAATATATTTATTAGACAATAGATAACACAGACTAATATGATTCCAAATTTTTTTGAACCTATATGATTCCAAGTATCAAAACGCTTGCTTCCATCTAGTATATTTGTCTTTTTCCATTTATACAGAAAAAAAAACAATTTTTCTGCTTCGTAATATATATTACGTTCACTTCGAACCGTCCCGCCCCAAAGGGTTAAGCGTTACCATTCTATATACAATGATCACAAATAAATTGATATTATAAAAGTATGTTCTTTAATTACCTCAAAATTTTATCAAACCAATTGCATAACATACACAATGAAATCAAGTTTACAGTCGGTACAGTAGATTGTTTTGAAATCGGTGCCGTCCCGTGAGAGTTAAAAATAACAATACTTATTTTTAAAAATTATATTCAGTTATTGTAAGCGCCTCGAAACCAAAAAAAAAAAAAATGCGTTTTTTGTAATATTGAAAATGTGGCAGTTTATCTCGTCATCGCCCGATTTGATATGATGGCTGGTTACCCCCTTTGTGCTTTCTAATTTAAATTTATATCGTTAAAAAAATCCAACTTACTTGTTTTTGGGTAGTCGTGCTTGACTTTTCACCTTTTAGATTTAATACTCTAAATATTCCCTTCAATGATGCTACCCTTATTTGTAACTAACGAGTTTTTCTACGTCTTATTGTATATATTTATTTTTCAGATTATTTTACTTCCCTGTGGACATGTTTGCTTGTGCGAAGATTGTTCTACACAAATCACCGATGCTTGCCCTGTGTGTCGTGAGGCAATTGAACAAAAAGCAGCTGCATATATATCGTAATATATATATATATATATATATATATATATTTGTTAATATAGTGAGTTCATGAAAATTATATTTTAATGATGTTATTTAAATATAAAAATTTGAAAGGATATTTCATTTTTAAATTTTAAAGAAAACTTATATAAATTTATTTCAGATTTTTGGCAAATGTTTCAATAAAGTTTCGACCTTTCGTTCAGAAAAGTTTGCAATAATGCTTCTTCAAATGATAAGAAGTTGACGTGAACGTTTTCTGAAGGTTTTTGAGAATCTCAACCGAAAACAACGGGCTTAGTAATGATTCAGTATGATCTGTAATAGCCTCAAAACATTATCATCTTTCGATTCCCTCCTATTCTTTTTTTTAATTTGACATAGAATAACACAATAATGCAGTGCTGATTGGATCATTGTGTACTGAATGTCGCTATCTTACACTGACATTAACAATGAACAGAAAAGTAACAGATATTACAAATTTTTCTACAAAACTAGCTACAAAACTGTAAAAAATGATACATATGCGAAGAAAATTAAACATTAGATATGTATATTATAATTAAGAATTTGTTTTTCTGCTATTACTTAAGTAATAGTATTAGGCAATATTAGTTTATTAAGGACCTTCAGTTAATAATTGTTATGTACTCTGTAATCTGAGATTCCTGAACCTGTGGTTGTATTAAAATTTGACTCTTACGTTGCTTCATCCAAAATTTAGTCAGGCGCTAATTATTTTTTTAACTTCCCGTAGGGTAAGTTATTGTAATGGGCCGAAAATCGGAATTGAAAATTTTTACATTTTTCGACGTTTTGAAGGTTTCTGAACGTTATGGCATACCTCAGAAAAAATGGATGTGTGTGTGTGTATGTGTATGTATGTATGTATGGATACAAATTTCCAGTCACGTTTTAGGGCGCACGGATCAACCGATTTGAATGATTTAAAAAACATTCGATTCCTATTGATAGGGAAAAGAGCTGATTAGTTTTTGGCAAAGGCAGGTCCAGCCGTTTCGGAGATTTGGAGCAAAGAGTGCAGAAAATAGAAATCGAATTTTTGAGAGAACGGAGTATCCGATTTGAATGATCTAAAAAACATTCAATTAGTAATGATTGGGAGAAGTGTTTATTAGTTTTTAGCAAAGGCAGGCCCATCAATTTCGAAGATACGAATCTAAATATGTAAAAAATGGCAGTTTTTGAGAGAACTAAGCGTCCGATTTGAATGATTCAAAGAACTTTCTGCTTGTTTTAACAAAATAATTGATTTTGGAAAAAAAAAATTTGTTCTATTTTTTTTTTTTTTTAATTTTTTGTATATCGAAAATAATTCAGATTTTATTTTTAATTCTGACTATAGTTCTAATATACTTTAAACAAATAATTTCAACTTTGCAATTAAGTTTATATAATACTTATAAATATTAGACAATGTTACAATATTTATAATAATCTACTTGAAGACATTCAGTATTCCTCGAACATTTTGTTACGGTACGGGAAGTTCCAGCAATTTGCCTTAAGGCACGATGCCACCCACCCCACTAGTTTAATATAAGTATTGAATAAAAAACAGAAATAATGTTATTGGTACCGCTATCACTCTTCACTGAACTTTTACTTTACTATTCTCCTGGAGAATTTCTCCATGCTCAAAATCGCAAAAAATTGAAAATGGTTTATTTTATATATTTACGGCATACCTTAAAAATGTATATATACATTACACCGAAAGAGTTAATTCTGCCTTTACTAAATCAGTACGCCTCGGCGTTAATAGAGAATTCAAATACAAGCTCTCGAAATTGGCGACAAAATTTATTTTCCACATATGCATGTGGAAACATACGTACTACAACTATATATAGTAAAAAATTATTCAAAATCGAAATTTGTTTGAGCAATCTAATTAATTACAGGCATTGATAAATACCATTTTTTTTTAAACAAATATTGATAAGACAAAATTTGAATTTATTAATAATAACCGATGTAAAATTTTATAAAATTACTAGCAAACCCGACGAACTCCGTTTCGCCGCCAGATGGTTTCGTGGGAGAGATGAAGAAATTTTTTGTATGTTTTATAATTGAAAAAGAAAAATTTGATTTTATTGCACAACAGTAATGAATTTATTTCGATTACAAAAATGAAGTGTTTTTTAGTTGAACTTCTCTAAGTAAATAAAAGTGAATCCGCAAATTATCCGTTTCATGGAAGTGATCTTTGGTAAACCACATTTTTTGTTTTTTGGTCTGACGTTAACACAAACAAAGCGGATGGTTTTCCAACTCGTGAACAGGCAACGTACGGAATAAATTTCAAATAGATTATATAGAAAATCATTGTTTTTCACATGGGCAGTTATACGTATAACTGCCCAAGTGAAAAACAATGATTTTCTATGTAATCTATTTGAAATTTATTCCGCAAACACTAAGCGATTGGCCTTGCGACTTGTTAATTGTCATTGCAAACGCAAGGCGAACTGGAAATTGCAATCGTTTGAAGTCAAACCAAATCGACAGCAATTTTTGATTGAATGGTGAAATTCAGTGCGTGTACATCATTTTACTTTGCGGCAAGAATTGTTCGTTGACTTCAACCAAGCATAATTCTGATAATTCTCACTAATGTCATTACTCGAATTTTTAATTACGGTGCGTGAAGTTCCAGCAAATTGCATTAAGGCAAGATGCCACCACTAATTTTCTTAGCTATAAACCTTGCGGAGCTCGAGACCTTTCCAACGAATGCAAAATTGTCGAAATCGGTTCGTGCGTTCTGGAGTTATTTCGTCAGGAAGAAAAACCCGACTTATTTTTATATATATAGAAGATATTTTGAAACATTGAAAAATATACCATAAAGTCTAGATATAAATAATTTTATGAAATCCAAACAAGTTACAATAAAAATTATTATTTTTCCGTAGCAAAAGTCATGATAATATCTCAAAAAAATCGAAAATAAATTTGTTTATATATCTTTACGTTTCAAAGGTTTCTGAAAATTTTGGCATACCCATAGATAAACAAGTATAAATTAGAAAAAATGGATGTATGTGTGTATATGTGTGTGTGTGCGGATACAAATTTTGGTCGACGATTTCGAGAACAAGGTTCAACCGATTTCAATCATTTAAAAAACATTCGATTTCTATTGATAAGGAGACGTGCTGATTAGTTTTTGGCAGAGGCAGGTTTAGCCGTTTTGAAGATACGAGGCAAAAAGTGCTAAAAATGGTAACTCTTTTTTTAAGAGAACGAGGCGTCTGATTTTAATAATATAAAAAGCATTTTACTTGTATATTAAATGAGATGACTACCTTATGAAATTTTTGAGAAGGCAGTTCTAGCCGTTTCGGAGATCTAGTAAAAAGGTGCAAAAATGCCATTTGGCGGTCAAAAATAATCATTAGACATATGCACATCAAATTAGCAGATATTTTATAGAGATTTTAATAATGTGTATCAATATTGTTCACATTACAATGGGTTCCGTAACATTGTTTGTCCATAAGACGGCGACGCGGCGATTACGCGCTTTGATATTTCGTTTCTATGAAGCTGAAGCATTGCGATTGCTTTGTAAAAAAGTTCAAAATTTCCAAAATATTTCAAAATAAAAAAAATCCAATTTTTTTCCCGAAAAAGTCAATTCTTTTAAAAAACTTGAAATTTCTCAAAAATCTTTTTTTTAAGTTTAAGTTTTATTTAAAAAAATATTTTGGGTACGGAAAGTATTGCAAATCTTCATAAAGTCCTAATATAAAAATTGTACTGTTAAAATTTCGCCTAAATAGTATGCATTAGGCGACGACTTACGTGGAAGTACAGTATACTGAATATATGACAGTAATAAAAAAATTAAAACAACATAACTCACTCAGTTTTCCAAGTTAAGAGTAATTATTTGTATAAATCATTACAAAATTAAAACAAATTAATATTTCATGCGAAAAAAAAATTTCGGTCTATCTGTATCGGTTGGGCTGCGACAAGGCACGCACTCCCGGACGCGATCCCACTACTGCTCACCACGGGGGCTCTTGGCTGCTGGGTGTCCCCTCTGGCCCGGTTCGCCCCTCCTTAGACAACCTGAACACCCTGAGCTCCCTCGGGGTACCCATGTCGATGGCGAGCTTAGTGCGGACGTCCGGTCAACATGCGCCACCAGGCCACAGTTGATCCCGACCTCAAGACATCCACGAAATCTGACCTCCGAGTAGCCGGATTACAAGAGACGCCACGCTCCCAGTCGAGGAAAAGACTTTATATCGTTGTTATAAGCGGCTAAAATTTTAAACTTGAATTATAATAATTAGAACTTCAATTAGAATAATGGTAGTACAGTTATACACTTAGAATGATTTACCTATAACTTGAATAGTATTTTCTTGTATAGTTGTAATACTACCATCCAAGGTGGCATTTCATAATTTATATGTTTAATAATTATTGTTATTGATATTAACATATATTAATAAGTTGTAAAATCACGTTTTTTAATCTTTCAAGTCCGCTGTTTTATGCAGTCGAAAAAGTCGAGTACATTTATTTGAACCATGTAAGTGAACTTTGAATATTATAAATCCTGTCACAAAATCCAAAGGAATTGAACAAAATTTGTACTTTTTATTAATGCGCATATGTCCTGCGATCATTTTTAACAATAAAAGGCAATTTTACCTTTCTTTCTGCATTCATGAAACTACTGAAAGTACTAAATTCTTTATTCGCTTCAACAACTATACAAGAAAATACTATTCAAGTTATAGGTAAATCATTCTAAGTGTATAACTGTACTACCATTATTGTAATTGAAGTTCTAATTATTATAATTCAAGTTTAAAATTTTAGCCGCTTATAACAACGATATAAAGTCTTTTCCTCGACTGGGAGCGTGGCGTCTCTTGTAATCCGGCTACTCGGAGGTCAGATTTCGTGGATGTCTTGAGGTCGGGATCAACTGTGGCCTGGTGGCGCATGTTGACCGGACGTCCGCA